CTCAATTAGTTAAAAAAAACCCCAAATCTGTGTAAATAAACTCTTTAATCAACTGAAGATGTCCAAATACAAATGCAAGTGAAATTATTGTGCCCCTGGGTCCTGCAGTACATTATGTTAGCCATGAAAGAGCTTCCTGCAGCTTTCCCCGACTGCTATTCCTAAGTGCAAACTACTAAAATGCACGCACAAGAGTCAAACTGCCAGGAAGTACATAAATGAGTGACTACAGATTAGATCCTCCTCTTGGGATGAAACTGCCTACATGTAAATGTATCAGAAATGACTGTTGGTGCCACAGGGAAACACCATCAGATGTGATACATGATTTATAAGTGTTAAAATGCCCAGAATAGGAACAGAAAGATATTAAAACTCTCTGCAATTGTGCTTTATGCCAATTAAACACAGAGATCCCCAGCTGTAGGCCCACATGCAATGCATCAAACACAGCTGAACAACTTCACATAGACTGCACTGTAGGTAGGTATCACCAGGTAAGATGGTTCAAAAAGTACTCTCTTATGGAAGAGCTACCTCCAAACAGTGCCACTCTTAACAAGTTAGCCCAGCTGAAGTTGTTAAGCATTGCAGATGGTAACATGGAGCCCCCATGCAACATCCTGCCATAGCTACCAATAGAGAAATTTCTGTTGAGGTTTTTTGAAATGATGCAACACAGAAGACTGCACTAGAACTATCAAGCCATGAATGTAATTCAGGCTTCCGAAAGGACTCCATGGCTGAACTCAAACTGGAGCACACATGTCCTTTTAAGTCCTTACTCATCCCACCTTCTGCCAATCTCCACTTTAAAAGAAGGAGTTTCATGAGTAGCTACCAAGTATCTTAGGTCATTTACCAATTCAGCTCTGAGAAACCTCTCTGGTAGTTATACCAAAGATGAATATACACTCTTCTACACGCAAAACACTGAAAGCTAAGAGTTGTTAGGCAAAAGTATACAATCACTTCAACATGTAACTCAAATACACCACAAAAATCTACTTCTTTCTACTCAGTTGTCCCTGTGACACTGCTCATCCCTCGTGCAAAGAATTACAAGACCCTCAGCTGCATGCTCATGGAATTTACTAATGGTTCAATGTTACTTCTGTGTGCATAAATGGGTTTTTGCACAACATGCAGGCACAAGTAATCCTTGCCTGCAGTTGCTCTCGTCCTCACATGTTCTTGATTTAAGAGATTTTAGTCAGTAGATCCACACAAATTGTGGGAAAGGAAATAAGAAAACATGGTTACGAACTCACCAGTTATCTCAAACACCTTCTTGCTGTACAGCTGCTACTACAAAAAGCCAGTTTGCATTGCTGCCCTAATACACTGAAATTCCTGCTCTCATGCCTCTATCCATCATCTCACACAAACACCATGCAGGAATGAAAGAAACTTGGTGTGAATCTGCCCCATAAGGAATGATACATTTATTTCTGGATATCTCCGTACCTACGTACACACCCATAAATGTCAGTTGTCACTTAGCAGTTGTGTGGTAAACATCCATACTGAGAAGTACCGATCTGAATGTCCTGGAATCGTTAGAAAGTGTGTGGCCCTCTCACATGGGACCCATATCGCAGTGGCCTGGCCACTGTTGCATGTAGTATGTTAGTTAGAACACTTAGGTCAAGAGACTTTCCCCAACATCACAAAGCTGTGATGAAACAGGTTATCTTAAGATATATATATATTTCATAGCCTCTACTTCTTCTGCCTCTCCCAGATAATTAAAAAGTATTTTCTCAATCCACGCCATCATAGACAGTACAGAATAAATAAATGACTCATTAACACCATCTTTCCACCTTTATGCAGAATTAACATATGTATTCTATTCATGGCCATTCGTAGCACAATGCAGTTTTCACTCTCACTGGTCACAATGAACTATTCTAAAGGCAGCAGTTACACAACAGAGTGGACTTGCAGTTCATTAAGTCCTGTAATTGAGACCGTTTCTCCCATTACTTGCAGAAATCCACTGACAGAACTGTATTTGCAACTCCCCCTCACTAATCAGTAAATCACTGCTCTACAAGAGAAGGATTTTATCCTGAAGTTCAATGTAGTTATTATGGCCTTCTAACATAAGCCTAAACAAAATTTCCTAAGGATCTGCCACAAACCCACGGACAGGTGAGCTACTACTTATAATGCAAAAACCATTATGTTGCACTTACCTGCAAGCAGTAAAGATACCTAAGCTGCACAGCTATATCATTTCCACTTTTATATGTATCACTTTGAATCTGAGGCCAGGTCTTCATAGGAAACTCAAAATTCTTAGCTGCCCCTTCTTAATCCAGAACTGTCAATGTAGTAGCAACCCAAAATCCAGTTTAATTTTTCTTGCAACAGGCCATGATCAAGGTATTATCCACATCCTTAGATTGAGCTACCACCCTACTAGCTCATCTAGCATCTGAAAGACTACTGCAAGCCTCAAAGTCAGACCTATACTTCAGTACATGTCTTGGTTAGAACCAGAGGATCCTTCTCAGTATGGATCTTAGTGCTACGTGCTTAGGTCCTTGATAGCACAGTCCTCTAACACAATAATCAAATCACTGTTACTTCTCTGTGGAACACATTCCCCAAAGTAAAATATAAATACTGGTTAAAAAAAAGGAATGACATATACAGAATGAGAAAAGGAGGGAGCCCATACACTTGTACCTTACAAGCAAGAGTTTCATAAAAGTACTCAAACATAGAGTTTATAATCTGCTTGGTACCAACACTTCCATTGGTTCTTCTTCTGGAGCACATATCCTTGTTACTCATGACAAATAACAACAATGGCTACCAGCATGATGCAAACTCTGGGGGGGAACTTTGTACTTTTAAACTCTTCATAATTATTTAGGAGCTTTAAAACAAACTAATCTCAATGAGTCAGAAAGGTTTTTCCCTTAATAATAATTTTACTCTTAACCTGCAAATATGGGAGAATGGACATCAAGCCAAAGGGCCTGAAGCTCATCATTGCTTTCAAGAAAAGTTTGTGTACATTCAAAAGACTAACACTAACAAAACCAATAATGAATCCTGGTATTTTCAGCTGTCTCTTCCATTTGTAAAGCTCTACCCCTGTATTTTTTCCAGAATTAGCATGTCTACAGAGAAAGCATCACTTTGTATTACACTAAAACACAAGAGTCAAAGCCAATAGCACCCATTTGAAAGCAAGTTTGTGACAAAAAAGCACAAAGCTCTGCTCTTAGAGATGCAATCCACCTACATAAAAAAAATGGTAAGCCTGTCATTTACTTCTATGACAAAAAGAACCACGTAATTTAACAGGCAGAACGGGAAAAAATACTTCCTGTTTTAAAGCTTTTTAAATGCTCTAAGATACACTTATTTATAATTTTTCATATGCAACTTATAGCAGTGAATAACAGTACAGGCATAAAGAGCAGTGCAGCCTGCTAGCCAAGTAACTGCTACTCCAAGCTCCTTTCCCCAGCCTCTTTTACATACCCACAAGAGCACAGCTGACAAAGGCACTTCTTCAAGGATGGATCGACATGCAAAGGCAGAGGTGATCTAGGAGACATGTTTGCTAAGAAAAAGTCATGGATCAGTTCTTTTCCAGTAGATGCTCTATAGCAGAAGAAAAAAAAAACCACATCAACAAAGAAACACTCCTCAGCAGCAGTCCCTGGAGACAGTTATATCAGAAGATCACCTAGGAACTTCCAGAAACAGGAACAGAGCACACAACACTGGTACAAACTGCACTACACAGCCCAGCTGACCAGCTTCTTCCCTGGGGCAGCATGCCCAGGTTCCTCTGGTGGCATCCCAACCAGAGCTCTGTTGTCCTGCTTGCAAGCCTCTTACGACCAGGGCATGAAACCCTTGACAGTCACCTATGGAACCTTTGTGAAGTCACCAGCACAAAGTTCTAGAGCCCAGGTCTGCAAGGAACATGGCTGGGCCTGTTCCAGACAGCCCATAGCCATGGTCAGACCTTCCAATTCTCTATCTGTTTGACCATTTTTAGATCAACATGTAAACGGACTATTAAGAAGCACTTCCCTCTTAACTGTTAACAAGTTAGCAGCCACATTATGGCCTCCATAACCAGCCACATAAATCTCTCTTCATAAAACTTGTCAAACGCTGCTTTGTAAGGAAGATGTCTAATAGATGTGCAGTTTCTTCTTCACACCTATTTGCAACAGTTCTGGAAGAAAGAAGCGGAAAGATATACCAGAAGAGAAACAGTTTGCATGCTTAAAATCTCTGTAAACACATCGTGCTAGCAGTCAGTACTTCAGGAAGTTTGTCTGCTAGAACCTCAACTTTTACATTCCCACCCCACCACAAGCTGTACTATCAGTTACTAACATTGCAATGTCATAATTGTATATCAGCTACTTGAAAATAAAGTGACATTAACACAACCACAACTCAAATTTTTAGAACTTGAGCATAAAACATTTATTCAGTAATAGGCCTAAACGAAACAGCCACATCGAAGTTTATTAGAAGAGACCAGCCTCTGTCAACAGGTAGAACTGATGGCAATATTGGCCAAAAGTCAAAATAATACCCCAAGTATACCCCAAAATACCCCAAAAGTAAAATAATACCCCAAGTAAAATCTGAGTGAGGTTTCTGTTCTGGTTTGGTTTTTTTGGGGGGCAGGGCAGGATTAGGGGCAAGACAGATACACCAAAGACTTCACTATTTCTCATTGGAGACTGTTTTTCCACTTTCTAGGATTATGCCACCTACTCTGCTATTTTACAAAAAAACATATGATAGGCTGTATGTAAAACGCTACTATGGATGACATGAAATAGGAGGAACCAGAGCAGGCAACTGACACTCATAAAAAGGGATACTGGAATACAGTCTCAAAAAAAAAAAAAAAAAAGGAGTGCAACTTCTCCATCTGGGCAGTGCCTGGAGAAGATGCTACACACTCAAGTGAACCATAATTGCGCTACTATGGTTGTGGTTCTGCTTCACAAATTCCATCCTGACGATGGTTCCTTCATGCCCAGCTTCTCATTCAACTGCTCTTTACCTAGAAGAAAAAATGTATTAGTTAGCACTCTAATAATATTTGATTAATAAGATGGAAATACTGCTCCAAAAGTGTTTGGCATATATTAAAAAAGCACATATGAAATGGTACTTGTAATTTTGGTGCTGCTCCAAGCATAGACAAAGTTTAAGCAAAACTTAAACTGCTGCAAGCCTTTTCACAAAGTATAAACCTTACTACTCCTTGAGACTAGCTTGTTCTGTTTAATGCCACCTATTTTAGCAAAACTTCTGTATAAATACTACTGGCTCATTTTTATTAATACATTCCAAAAATTGACCTCACATGTAACTAAACACTACACTACTGGTCAAACAAAATTAACACTTCTGTTGGAAATGGGGCGAGGGGGCAGGCAGGCTAGAATGCAAGATATTTCAAAATAAGAAGTATAGTAAGTATTACAGACTATGAACACCTGACTGAAGTTCCTCACAAAAGTTCCAATTGCCTACAACACACTTCTAAATAGACAAATTTGTTCAAACACACTATTTCAAACTAACTTCACAAATTCTCAAAGTTTAACTTCAGATTACTCCATTGCTAACGTACCTTAGGCTTCTTTTTTTTTTTTAAGTAGTTGCAGACAGAAAGTCAGATGAGCACCCTTCCTCCTGCTTGCAAATGTTGATGCAACTAAAGGAAGAATGTTTCCTTTGCTTTCATGTCTCCTCTTCCATAAGGAACAAGCATAAAAATAATGTCTCCCTACACTTCCATGGCAGAGTTTAGCTACTCAGAGTAGTTTATTTATGGTAGTATACCCAGTGTCAGAATGCACAACATATTATTTCTAAAGTACATGGACACTTACCCTTCAATTTATGGATTAAATCTAACGGGATCTCGTGTATCACTGACGAAATTTCCTCCAGATATTGAGAGGATACCAGTAAAGATGACAGGGAATATTTTCTTTCATTAAGAGATATTGGTGATGGTGTCTTGGTAAATTCTTCATCCAAGGAGAAGAGCTCTACAGAATTAAATAATTCATCTCTCTCTTTCTCTGGTGCAAGACTTAGGTCTGATCTACAACTTACAGATTCACCTCCATTATGTGTTTGATGCCGCTCCTCTTCACTTCTAGATGCAGCCTTTTTCAGTGCTTTATATGTGTTCAACAGGGGCTGTAGATCTAGCTTTGATTTTTGAATATCTTTATTTTTTGAATTACTTGTTATGTATTCACTGTCTATTACATCAAAATCAGACTCTGAGTTTGCAGATTTGTTGGGATTCATGTTACCAAATTCTTCTGGAAGTGTCTCATCCAACATCCCCAAGTGGGTAGCTTCATAACTGATAGAACTTAATGAAGATAGACTCCAGTGCTGCATGCCATCCATTAAGGAACCCTGGAAGTAGTGTGAAGGTTGAACATTTGTTCTACTATTGTTTTCTGAACTAATATCTGGAATACTCATGCTCCTCCCTAAATATTGAAGAGTCTGTTCTTCTGGATCGTCTACAGAACTTTTGTTCAAAACAACACATTTTAATTCCTGCTTTTCAGTTGTCTCACTCTCTCGCAGTCCAGATGTTTCCAAAATTGGAGATTCAATGATATGACTTACCCTCATCTGCTCTTGAGGTCTAAATTCTGTAGAACTTAATTGGGACTTCCTTTCTGACAAGGGAGGATCAAAATCAGGTACAGGAGATGCAAGACAGGAGCACAGAAATCCAGAGTCTGACACTTTCTGCATTTTAGGTCCAGCATCGATTGGAGCTTCTTCTCTCATTACTTCAGCTTGGGCTTGCTCTGTGTCTGATGAGCCCTCAGTCTGAATAGCTTTTCTCCATGAGCTTCTAATTTCAGTAACTAAATGGAACAAACCAAAGTAAAATTTTAGTACTTTCATATTCTCAATCAGGTTTTTTCTGTCCCTTCAGTAACACAAGCAACCCAAGAATGAAGACCTAGAGCTGCTTTATATTGTTTATGCTTAGTTTTCTTCCTCAACACAAAGGGGATTCTATGCAGGAGAAAAATATCTATGTTAAATCAAAATCACAGTATTCACATCTTATTATGCCTACTATGTTGTGTTACAGAGTGAGCCATTTTGCAGCTTCACTGAAATAATTATCTTTATTTCTTGAGTGATGTGTACATGGCACATAGCACATGAACTGGCAATGAACTAAATCACATTTCTAAGCAATGAATATTATAAAAACAAAGTTTTAGACTTACGCAGATTTTCTGGAGTTCGGGGAATTTGTTTCCTTGTCAAAAATGTGTTAAAAGCCAGTGAGCTAATGAGATCTTCTAATGCCATTCCTTTTGCTTCCTGAGGTGACTCAGACATCACTGCTTTTGCAACCTGTAGGATGTTAAAGAACGGCAAATACTGAGAAAGCAAAATAGTGGTATCTGAGCATGATGTGAATGGTATGGAATAAGGGGTGGAGAATGTCCTGGGTTAAGCTGAGACAGTTAACTTTCTTCACAATAGCTAGCAAGAGGCTGTGTTTTGGATTTGTGCTCAGAAGAAAGCTGATAAGAATTTTGCGGCTGCCAAGGTCTTTCAGCTTCTCTGGCTGTCTGCAAACAGGAGAAGCTGGGAGGGAGCACAGACCCAGTTACTAGCCCAGGAATTGATCTTAGGTTTGAGACTGAGACCCAAGGTGGCCAATAATCTATTCCATAACATACACGTCATGCCCAGTATATAGGTGATGACCCTCCAGATCATCCCTTTTGGTTCCAGATCTCTTTTGCTCTGGGTCATCTCGCTCTGGGTGGTCGCTCTCCCAGAGCTTCCCCATCCCAACCCCGGTCAGCTATCGGTCTGGGACGCTCAGACTGTTATCTCCATTCCATGAGTGCAGTTTCAGGACTCTCCCTGCTCCGGGATCGTTAGCCAGGAACAGGCTGAGCCTTGGTCATCAGGTGGGGGGACAGTATCACTGTGTATCACTCATTTGTATATTTGTCTATAGTATTCTTTTCAATATTATTGTAGTTTACTTATTAAATTGTTCTTATCTCAACCCATGAGTCCTTTTTTCCCCTTTACCCCTTTAATTCTTTTCCCTATCCGGGGGGGAGGTTGGGGGTGAGGGGGCGGATTGGGAGAGCGGGTGTGTGGTTTGGCCCCCAGCCAAGGGCAAACCCATCACACCTCTTTATTTCTGTCAGTTATGGCTCAAAATAAATCCCATTCTCCAAATCATCTGAAGAGTCTGGAATCTCCTGACTCATTCTGTCACATACTACTTAGGCTTACAATGACCAGTGTCCTACAAACACAAAATGAAGATAGGGGACTGAAATCAGAATTCAGTTCTAAGTTCCTTCACCACTTATGAATCCATCTTTAAAATATGAAAATGTGCTCAGATAGAATATATTTAAGAAAATAGTCAACAACAGCATAAGCATGAAGACTAGAGCATTTTAGCAGATGAAAAACAACCACCATTTCAGTATAAGATGCAATTTACTTTCCAATCAAGCTGTGGCACATTTTACAGTAACTCTTGTGAAGGAATTCCTCAGGTAAATCTTAAATAAAATACCTAAAAGATGAAATATTTAAATTCCTGCTTAAAATTCCCAAGCCCTTGTTAAATATTTAACCTGCATAACTACAGAAACAAAAACGACTGTTGAATTCTTAATATATGCAGTGCTTCATAGATTAAAGTATGAGAGGTGATAAAAATCATACCATGATTTTTATATCATATCATAGCATCATGATTCTACAGAAAGTGTTATTCATTTCATTATGATTTACAAGTATGATAACTGCACAAGCTCCATGGTTTCAGGGTGTACTTAACTGGGCAGTCACCCCTAAAACTCAGTGGCACTGACGACTATCTATCAGGAAAAAGTAACTTTTGATGTACACGGATTACAAGAGGCACTTTATGATATAATTAGTAATCTGTTCTCTGAACTTAATGACAATTTATTTAAAAATAACTTTTCCTAACCTCTTCTGCCAGGTCATCTCTGTCTTTGTTAAAAGGGTCTTCTTTGTTGACAGGAGACTCTGTCTGGATAACATGATCAACTGCATTTTCCCCCATTTCTGAAACAGTGGACTCATTCTCTTCATTTTTTAAGGTCTTTGGAGGCACAGGATTTTCTTTCCCCTTCCAAGTTTCAGTAAGCAAGTTCTAGAGGAATACACAGGAATTACTGGAAGTTTTAAACTCAAGTATCAGAAAATTAGCATGAAGAAACTGCTGTGCAAATTCTGAACAGCAATGGCCGTAGTGTTTAGTCAATAAAAATATTTCAGTCATAAATTCTAACTAAATACAAACTACTTTTGCGATCATATTTAAAGTAGGACATAAGTTGTGGCTAGGATAAGGTGTTGCGTAGGCCACAGATTACTCATCTGCAACTACCCTGAACACACTACAGTGAGCAATTGTGCAACGGGCAACTGTGCATCCAAGTTGCTTTCAGGCCATGTTATAACCCTTCAGTTCACACACAACTTTAAGAAATATCAAAGTCTGACCACTGCTCATGCCAAAAAGACTGTTTCAGCAAGCAGGGAATCAGTGACACACTGTACATTGTACTAAAAGTCAGGTGCAAGTGCACCTACTTCCTACTGTCCCTTCCTAAAGCTAGATGAAGGCCCTGGCAGTTAGCTTTTACAGTTTTAAAGGACTGATTCAGCTGTGTAAAAAAACTACTTTAGAAACAATCCAAAAAAAGCCCCACAACCTTCCCTCACAAATACTATGTCTAGGCTTCAATCAGTGTAAAAATGCAACTACTGTTAAGTTTAAGTTCTTTGACAGGAAGGAAATTACTAAAGAATAACCTGTTCAATGAACACATCTCTCTCTTCAGATGCTTCTGACAACTCCAAAGGCACTGAGGAGGTCCTTGGTGAGGATGACAGGGGGAACGGGGGGAGGACAGAGCAGGGAGAAAAAAAAAAGGGTTTTAGAGACAAATTTTAAAAGTGGCATGCCAGTCTTAGTAGAAGACCATTACATATTGTATGCCCCGTATCTGTCCGTTACGATTTCCCTGAATTCGTCCCGGTCATCAGAAGGCAATTTTACTATAGGGAGAACATGTGACAGTTAGAGCAGATTTAGCCCTAGCTGTGTATCAGCCTCCCAAAATTAATAAATTACGAAATTTTCCCTTGACTTACCAAACAGAAACTGAAGGGATTTTGTGATACATTTTGTAAACAAGTCTCCTGTATCAAGGATAACTGGAAAGTCTTTTGTAGACTTGATAATGTTCTTTTCCCTAGATATTTTTCCTCTGAATCGCTTCTGGCATCCACAGGTCTATTCCTATATGAACTTACTGATTCTTAACAATCGCCTGGATATCAAAAACTTGAATCTTATCCTTTCTGATGAGGAAATCGTATAGCTCTCTAAAATGTAAGGTACAGTCCTCACTTGTTAGGAAAGACACATCTTAAAATGTTAATATTGCTGTTATCTGTCTTTAGAATCAGAAGCAGACAAAAATCCATGCTGCATGAAGTCACTGAGAGAAACCCAGGCTTTAACTGTGAACTACTTGGACAGCCTTTCAGACTCATACACAGCTACATCTAGTGATGTGTAAGTATAGGACAGCCTTCCTTTGCTATGTCCCTTTCTCTCCTAGTAGGCAATTTTCAATTATCTGTAGGAGTCATATTATGAAATAGTGTTATTCAAAAGGTCATTAAACTTTCCTGGACTAAGTAAATGACACACAGGCCAAAACTTTTTAGAATACCATTACTTTGTATTCTATCCTCTGCTGGAACTGTAGTAAAAGCTACAGAACAAAGCGATCGTAGAAGATTAATAAGAAAAGCCTTGTTGAGAAGGTTTAATATGGTAATTCTACTTAGGATTCAGGCGTTTTTGTTTTGGTTCGGTTTAAGTTTTGTTTTTTTTCAAAACACAAAAGCAGGGCTCCTGTGAATATTTGTTCTTTTATTCTCACGCTATAGGAATCATAGAATATCTCAAGTTGGAAGGGACCCATAAGGATCATCAAGTCCAACTCCCTGTTCCCCACAGGACTACCTAAAACTAAACCATATGACTAAGAGCATTGTCCAGACACTCCTTGAACTGACAGGCTTTGTGCCATGACCACTTACGTGGGGCGCCTGTTCCAGTGATCGACCACCCTCTCAGAGAACCTTCTGAGTATGAACTTCCCCTGATGCAGCTTCATTCCATTTCCTTGTGTCCTGTCATTGGTTGCCAGAGATATATCAGCATCTCTCATGCTAACATATGCCTAGCTCAACCCAGCCTAAGAAAGAGAATTCTGTTTTCTCCACCCACCTCTTAAAACTTGAAAGAATGCAGTTAAAGAGTGAAATAAAAACCCTGCAAGTTGTCTGCCACACATCCTATTCACCAGCAACCAGTTCATCAGTGGGTCACCAGCTGAAGAACGTGGCAGTTACTTTAGCACTATCTTGCTAAATCAGGTGGATGTGACTTGTAAGGAGTAGGCTACTGAAATATTCCACTAAAGATCAGGAGATGAAATACATTCAACTCCAACAAGTAGATTTCTATTTATTCAACTGCTTTTTTAATCAATATCTCATTAACAACATACCATCTTGGTGGTGGTGTTGACTTATCCATCACAGTTTCCAATGCCTCATCATCCTTCTCAGAACATACTTCATGAACAGTGTCACAAACATCTATAAAAGTAAGTCAAGAGTTTTATTATTGCTTCCATTTTTTTTGCTCATGCTTTCCAGGGGACACAAGTGACTCAGACCACTTCTGTAGACAATTCACAGGGTGAATTTCATGAACACTTCAAGAAAAATAAATTGCTACATAGGCAGGACAGTAAAATTAATCCTTGTGCTCAGGTACTACCTGCAGCCACAGATGTCACTAGCAGCCAGCACCTATTTGTATTGTTCCTGAATGCATGTGCAAGAGGCATGATTCTACCTGCTACCCTGCACATTTCAATCATACATTCCACCTTCTTCCAAACGACATTGCTAGCCACCTCTCATTATCCTCTCCTCTCCACATACACGTCAATTGCGTGGCACACCAACTCCATGAAGCAAAATTCTACCTACATTTTCCCCACTATCTTCACCTGCATTTACCAACAAATATCTCTGTGACACACTCGTTCCTCTGATCAACACTGCCTGAGTCCAAGCAAGGCAAGGCACACTATAAGAAAATGTTTTGCACGTTATCAGAAGTACACATACCTCAGCTCAGGACTCTCCAAGTATTTTTTCGCACATTTTTTTGATAAACAGCCTAAGTTTGACCTCAGTAGTTCTCTACTAACCCTATTCACCTCAAAACCACCTCCACAATCCAAGCTCACTTCAAGATGTTAGAGGAGGTTAACATTTTTTTTAAAGCTTGCCATGTTAACAGGCAGAAAGTTAGTTTTCTTAGTGGCTGTATTCTCAGATCAAGTATCTTAACCACAGAGTAGAAAGAATGCCACAGACACCAGTTTCTCTCAAGCTTTCTGATATTAGCAGAAGCTCACTGAATTATTGCACAGTGCATTAAACTTTGGAATTTTTAAGGCAAATGACCTCCCATTTGCAATTCTGTAGTCTTTCCTTTGCAGCTTCTAGCCTTATACCTATACACCCTCAGACTGCTGGAGCACTGCTTTCACCTTGTAACCAAAAGGATCTTCTCCCTATTGCTTTGCATCTGGAAACTCTAACACATGTCTGCTATGTCATTTTTCCTAAAAGGGACTGCAAATGACATATGATTCAAGATGTCTTCCCTCTCCTTTTCCACCCTTGCTTTGTAGTTTCTAATTTACAACTCTATACTAGGGACAGTCAACGCTTAGTCAATCAGCATTATCCAGTAAAACACAATCAGCTCATCAGCAGATTAGCATGTGCAACACCCATGTCTCATCAATGTCTGGTCATCACTGTTAACCTAATGACTGAGAGCAACCATAGAGATCAAGTAAGGTCCTGATCAAATGTTAGAGTTACTGTGAAATAAGTATTTCAGAATGCACTAGGG